GCAAATTCTCGTGTTTCCTTCCAGTTTTCCCTTTTTTTACGGTTTTTTTACCCTTTTGCGAGGAAAATGAGCAATAGCGAAATGACAGAATCCCAGATTGCAAAATCGCATTGAAGCCAGATAGTCAATAGTTGTCCAAAAAGCAAAAATGCACTGACATTACATCAAAGGAGAACCGAAGTACCGAACTCAAATGTCAATGAGAGCATACTCTCACCACCATCAACGTTGTATCCAGACCTCTTCCTCCTACTTGCTGCTCAGCGCCCAGACTACAATCACACCACTATTCTACCAGCCTACGAATTGACAATGCAACCGTGGATGTCAGCAGTAGCAAGTGAAGTACATGAGATGTCGACCATGTAGACCTCCGCCCAGACTAGGTACCCATACATGCTCACCCTCGACTCCATCTCCCACGTCTCCTCACCACCCAAAGACCACGGCCATACCCCGCTGACCTCCTCCAAGCCCAAGCCCGGCTATGGGGGCTGGACTATGGCACTGCCTTCTTGCACCGCCCTGCTCTCTCCCTCTCGCAATCGCGCTCACGTTCGTGCACCAAGCACACGGCAGGCAGGCACGAGCACTCGCTCCAGCAGCGCTGCCGCATGTACCACCAAGTGCCCGAATGACTGACTGCCCGGCGGGCAGCACTTTCTTGTGTTTGCTGCCGGGGCCTGGCGCCTGTGTGCCCAGTAGCTTCACGTCGGGCCAAAGTGTTTGCGCCCAGGCCCATTCAGACAGTGGTCTGGGACCAAATTGGTTAGGCATGCCCAACCACCCAGATACAAATGTGCGGTGTTCCCTGCTTCCCCTGCGGGGCTGGAAGAACCTAGAAGGCCGTAAATATTTCTGATTCTCACGAGCGGAGAGGATGCAACGGACTGGTGCGTGGTAACTGTCTGGCGCCCAACAAGACTTGCAAAATTGACAAATTCAGGCCACATTGAGATTCAGGGGCCCGCCTTCACTTAGGGCGGGCTCATGCTTGCTGTAGGGGCTCATTCACGGGCATGCCGAGGATCCGAATCCTCGCACTCCCTCCTCCTCTACTTCAACAGTCCCCTGAGAGGTTTTTGATCAACAAGCTGGTTCTCTTTCAACCTTCTTTCATATCCTGAAATCACCTGTGGAGCAGTCTTAACTAATTCTTCTCATGTGAAATCGACCTTCTTTAAGATCGAGATGGTTCCTGAACCGCACTCTAAACTGCATCTACAGTTTCAGAGGGTTTCCCCTGCCGAGAGGCTTGGGTACAGGCATCAGCTTGTGCGACAATATCATCAATGTTCACGAGTCCATCCATGGTTGGGCCCAACATTTATCTCCTTGAAGGAAATTGACTTGTGCAAAAGGAGCCAGTTTGGAGGCGTGAAAACCAGGGTTACGAAGGTGACCAGGGATTCGGATAACATAAGAGGGTCCGTCCGGGACATTCCCAACTATGTCTAAGACTTCCCAGGGCCCAAAGTACTGCGACATGAGTTTCCTAGAAATACCAAGTTCCTGTTCCAGCTCAGATGACTTAACCCAAACCCGTTCTCCTACCTGAAACATTGACAGTCGTCTGTCCCTGTTCTTAGATGCAACCATGGCATCCTGAGCTTTCTTTATATGCTCTACAGCCTGCTGCAGCAGGTGTTCGTACTTGGCATTGAACGCTATGTTGCCTGGTGATGCAGTCGGTTGGTTCTCTGGCAGCAGGAAGTCAAGTGCAGATCGTGGCTTCCAACCAAGATGTAGCTGGTTGGGAGTCACACCGGTAGTGCTGTGCGCAACATTGTTGTACATGCTGGTGATTAGAGGTAACTTCTCATCCTAGTCTTCCTGGTTGGGCTTAATATAATGCCTCAACAAATGTTGCACTACCCTGTTCATCTGTTCGGCTTGACCATTCGACTTAGGATGGTTGCCTGAAGTCATTTGCAGTTGGGTCCCCATCTGCTTAACCATCTCTTGCCACATTTCACTGGTAAACTGGACATTCACTATGGAGTTCGGTAGATCAAAATCACATACCCAATGGTCCAATAACAACTTTATTACATGGTCAGTCTTAGCAGATTCAGGCATGGCAATCAGTCACGTACTTACCGAATCTGTCCACGATGACGAAGATGTGTCATTTGCCGCTCTTGCTGGTCACGATAGGCAAGGGCTTGATAAGCCCAAGCGGAGCCTGGGTCTGCGGTTTGTCGTGCTGACAAGCCTGACAAGTTTCTACATACGTCTTTGCACCATCCATCATTGTGGGCCACCAGAAATGTTGCACTAAGTTTGCTGCTGTCTTTTTGTACGCAGAATGACCAGTTGTGTCGTGGCACTCACCTAAAATAAAACTACGGAAAGACCCTCTTAGATGGGACACACAGACGTTTATTCCCTGCCTTATTGAGAAACAACAAACCATCAATCAACACAAACTCATCAGTTGTGGCCT